TTATTCTCGTCTCAAACCAAAGCTACCCCTTCAAATCAGTATCAAGGCAGAAGGAATGGAGGAAATCAAACTGGAAACCAAAGTTCCAGAAAACAGAAGAAGTATCCTCCTTGCAACATCTGCTCCCTCACAAACCATTTAGAGAGTGAATGCTGGTATAAGGGAAAGAAAGTTGTCCAATGCAACTTCTGCAAAAGACTTGGCCATAAGGAGAATTTCTGTAGGCAAAAACAAAAGCTAGAAACTGCACAATCTAAGCAGGAGTTGCAACATGTAAATGTCACTGAGATATCCAGTGAGCAAAGTAATACAATTCTTGTTGTTTTAAGTGAATTAATAGTGGAAGACGACAGCCTCTGGGTTGTTGATAGTGGTTGCACTTCTCACATGTGCAAGAATGAAGCCATGTTTGTCTCACTTGACAAATCAGCAACAGGCCAAGTAAGACTTGGAAATGGCATGCTGGAAACCATCAAGGGCAAAAGCAACATTGCCATTGAAACCAAGAAAGGCAGAAAACTTATCACTGATGTAAATTTTGTTCCTACACTCTCACAGGATCTTCTCAGTGTGAATCAGATGACTGATCGAGGCTACTCGGTTGGATTCAAGGATAACTGCTGCAGGATATATGATCCTGAGGATCGCTTGATTGCTTTCATCCAAACGAAGAATCAAGTCTACTCCTTAAAACTCAGAGAAGTAATTGAGAGAGCCAGTGTTGCCTCTGTAACTGATGGTGAGATTTGGCACAGGTGCCTTGGGCATTTTCATGCGGCTGGGCTACAACAACTGCAGAAGGGAGGTCTAACCAAGGACTTCCCAAATATTGCAGTCACTGAGATAGTATGTGGTGTATGTCAGCTGAGGAAATTGGCAAGGAATTCATTTCCTTCGCAAGCAGATTGGAGAGCAAAAGAGAAGCTGACACTTATCCATTCTGACATTTGTGGTCCAATGACAGAAAACTCTATGAGTGGTTGCAGGTATTTTGGCTTGTTCATATATGATTTTTCCAGGATGATTTGGATTTGTTTCCTGCAGAATAAAGCTCAAATTTTTGGTGAATTCAAGAAGCTCAAGGTTATTGCAGAGAAGGAAAGTGGCAGTGTACTGAGGTGCCTAAGGACAGATAATGGACTTGAATTCAATTCCAGCCAATTCAATGATTTCTGTTCTGAGAATGGGATCAAAAGGCAGCTCACGGCACCATATTCTCCTCAACAAAATGGTGTCTCGGAGAGGAAGAACAGAACCATTAAGGAAATGGTAAAAAGCATGCTTGCTGACAAGCACCTGCCTAAAGCCTTGTGAGCTGAGGCAGTGAACACTGCTGTGTTCCTGCTCAACATGCTGCCTACAAAGGCTGTAAAGTAGATGACACCGATAGAGGCCTAGAGTGGCATCAAGCCATCAACAAAGTATCTACAGGTGTTTGGATCAGTGTGCTACTGCCATGTCTCGGATGACAGGAGATCCAAGCTAGAAATGAACGCTGAGTTGGGAGTATTTTTGGGATACAGTACTGAAGCAAAAACATACAGAATTCTAAACCTGAAAACCAACAAGCTTATGATTCGAAGAAATGTAACGGTGGATGAAAATAGCTACTGGAATTGGGAGAAGTAGAAAGTCGAATGAGACTGTGTCACATTTGAAGAAGGAAAGAAATCAATGAAAGTATCAAACCCAACTCAGAGTGATGAAGAAGATGAAGAATGTGAAGCAAAAGGGAGAATAAAATTGAAAAGTCTAGCTGACATCTATGAAAGGTGCAGTTTTGCCTCAAAAGAACCTTCCTCTGTTGAGGAAGCACTTCAGCAGCAAGAGTGGAGACTTGCTATGGAAGAGGAAATCAGGATGATTGACAAAAACAATACTTGGTCTCTGGTAAAATTAAGTACAAACAAAAAACTAATTGGAGTAAAGTGGGTGTTCAAAGTGAAACTCAATCCGGACGGGACAACAAACAAGCACAAGGAACGGCTTGTGGCAAAGGGATACTCCTAGCTTCCAGGAATCGATTACACAGAAACCTTTGCTCCCGTGGCCAGATATGAAACAATTAGACTCATTCTGGCCATGGCAGCTCAGTTTGGTTGGAGTGTGATGCACTTGGATGTGAAATCGGCCTTCTTAAATGGTAAACTGAATGAAGAAATTTATGTTGAGCAGCCACCGGGGTTTATTCAACTTGGAAAGGAGAGTCACGTCTATCTTCTTCACAAGCCCTATACGGCCTCAAACAGGCTCCACGAGCCTGGTATGATAAGTTAAATACGTACTTACTTCACTGTGGGTTTGAGAGAAGCATGACAGAAAATACACTGTATGTGAATAAAGATGAAGACCGACTTATCACTGCAACATATGTTGATGATATACTGGTGACAGGCAGCAACAAAAGGAAAATGATAGAGTTCAAGCAGAAATTGGAAAAGGAATTTGAGATGTTTGATCTTGGGGAAACTACCTACTTCCTAGGAATGGAGATTCAACAAAGTAACTTGGGTATTTTTCTTTCACAAGGCAAGTATGCCAAAGAAATACTAAATAAATTCAATATGAGTCACTGTAAATCAGTATCTACACCACTGGTGTCCAACTTGAAATTATCAAAGGACGAAAAAGGTAGCAAAGTCGAAGAGGGAAATTACAGAAGTCTGATTGGGAGCCTTCTGTATCTCACAGCTACCAGACCAGACATTTTGTTTGCATTGAGTTTACTTTCAAGGTACATGGCTTCACCGAGGGAATCACACTTACAAGCTGTCAAACATGTGTTGAGGTACTTGAAAGGAACTTGGAATTTTGGTGTTCAATTCAAAGCAAGAGCTGAAGGTGGAGTAGTCAGCTACAGTGCCAGTGACTGGGCAGGAAGTGTAGAAGATGCACGTAACACAACTTGGTACTTGTTCAAACTAGGCTCCGGTGTTTTTTCATAGGCATCTAAGAAACATGATACTGTGGCTCAGTCCACAGCTGAGGCTGAGTATGTAGCCGCAGCTACAACAACTAACCAAGCAATTTGGTTGAGGAAGGTGCTCAACGATCTAAAGCTGGACAAACAAACACCTACAGTGTTGTATGTAGACAACAAGTCTGCAATTGCCATTGCAAAAAATCCTGTAATGCACGGGAGAACTAAATACATCAACGTTAAGTATCATGCTATATGTGAGGCTGAGAGGAATCAAGAAATAAAGCTGATACATTGCTCCACCGATGATCAGCTTGCGGACATTCTAACCAAGGCCTTGTCTAAAGCTAAATTTGAGGATTTGCAGGAAAAGGTGGGGATTGGTGAAAAAAGTCATTAAGGGGGAGTGTTAAAATTATTGATTTTTTATGTTAAGTTTAAATTCAAAAAATAGAAATCAACCGTGAAGTTGTATCATAGTAGGATACGTAAATTTCATGCGATGTATGCATGATTTTCGGACGATCTGATTTGATCGTTTGGTTGATGTAATCAGTTTAAATTTGTATTGCTTATATATATATGAGAAAATAAAAAAAGAAAACTACTCCTTCTCTTCAGAAAAAGCACGTCTCTTCATAACAGCAAAACAGAGTCAGTTGCATAAGCTTGCTCTGTTTTGCTGCCCTCTCTCTCTTCAACTTTCTCTCTCTAAGTTTGTTCAATCAGAGAGCTTCCCTTGAAGCTTATTTTCGCTTTCGATCAACACTGATATTATGGAGATTAGTTTTCCTTATTTTTCTACTCCTGATAATTTGTGGTTAGCGGCAGAATTTTAGAGATTATGGTGAGGATTTTTAGCATTTTCAATTTGGCTGTAAGCCTATATATAGGCATGTTTAGTTCTGGAATAATAGAGCAGAGAGCGGCAAGTATTTCTACAATTTGTGTTCTTTATCTGCAGAAAGTTTCTTCCTTCAAACTCTGTTTTCTCAAACTTGTTCCAACATTCTGTGTGTCTCGAAAACCACATCGTGGCTGCAAACATTAAAACATTCACCACACTATTCACCACCACCATCAATCCCGACCAGATCACCATGAACACCCACCAAAGTTTCTTCCATGAAATTTTGGTCGACGGTTTTTGTTGCTCTGGCACAGTGGGAAGTGAGTGGGGGTCGGAAGTCTTTCTGGTGAAAGCAAGGAGGAGAGAAATGAGAGACACGCCATCGCCGATTGAATTATGAATCCTGAACGTGGCGACGGCTTCGGCGTCAGAAGTTTTCACATTGAGAAGATGAAGCTCCCATAATGGCTTACACATGTCCATTGGGATTTTTGTTGAGTTGGATGTATAGTCCTCTACGAATTTGCCTGGTGACTCCATTTCTGGGTTTATGTCTGGGACGATTACATGATCTTCAACTTTCACGTTCGTTTTCATCGCCAGTACACAACTTGCTGCCGGCGGTTGCTATCGTCAACATCTTTTCCTTCTTCTTCTTCTTTCGGTCTGCTTTGTTTGGCGAATTAAAGGTGTTGGAACTTGGAAGATTACTTGCTATATATAGATATGATATATACAACATATTATATTAGGAGGGCAGTACTATAATTTTGTTCAAGTTTATATAGATATGATCTAAGTTGAAAATAATAATAAAATTAAAATTAAAACAAAAAAAAAAATAAAGATATCATGTGTATGAGTTGGAGTTAAGATTGTAAATTTCCATATCTAACCCTTCTTTCCCTTTATGTTGTAGTTACATATAATATATATATATATATACACACATATACATATATATTTAATCAAACCATATATCTTTTGCTGGATTTAAAGGGAAGAGATAAAATACAACATGATGATAGAAACAAACATACACAACTCAGAAGCAGATGATGAAGTTGGAGCTAAGATACCCAACGTATATATTTTTAAGTTAGAGTTGGAGTTGGAGATAGAGATAAAATTCCGAAATTATAAATTCAACAATTGATTAATATTGATAATATTAATTTTAAAAGTGTTTTTTTTAATTAACGTAACTTTTTTTTATACAAAATAAAATCAATGGAAGATAACTCGAGCAATAGATTTTATGTCTTACACATGTATTCCGTATTCTCCTTAATAGCAATTGATTACACATGTATTATGGTCTCCGTATCTTTATAAATAATTTTTATGCATCTACATATACATATAATTATCTGAGTCAATAATAGAGAACAGACTGACAAAGAGGAGGTTGAATAAGAGATTTCTCAGACGCAGCAATTTTGATGATCTTCAAAGCTTCCTCCAAGTCATTACAAAGCTGGTGAGGGTCTGGGATCACATCTGGATCAACCGCTACAGAAAATGTCATTTTATTTATGTAACTCTGAAAATGTAAAGTCAGTGCCTGCAAAAATTTAATATAATTAAATATATATATATATATAAGTATACATAGATATATATATATATATATATATGTATTGAAGAAGTGAGAAATATTGTTGGTGTTACATGAGGGTGGCCATAGACAGAAGGTGCAAGGTAAGCTATTGGATGGCCATAAAAGCTTATTTCTTCAAGGGGACCAACTATGTTTGAGAACGTCATTGTTGTGTTGGATACTATTCTTTTCGTCATACCTGCGGCTACCTGCAATTAACCCAATTCATTATTTTCTAAATAATATATATATATATATGTATTAAATCACTCTCAAGTATATATGTATGTATGTATGTATGTATGTATGTATGTATGTATGTATACACCTTGCTTCCAAAAAGTTTGAGTATTAACTTGGCAGTTTGAAATGATAAAATGGCCTCACAAGAGAGCTTCTTGCGGTCAACTATGGATTTAGCCGTGCGAATGTAATCCAGAGGGTCTTTTTGCAAGGCAATGGTGAAGGGAATCAGAATATATCCAATACAATTTCCCCATATGGCTTTAGACCCTTTAGCCATCATATTAGCCAGTACCTGTTTAATTAATTCATTAATTTAATTAATTATCCAATTAATCATGATTAGTAGACTAAATTTAATTTAATTACCTGAATCCCAGGAACTTCTCTTATGTTCGCCATAACAGCTGCCCTCACCCGCATTCTTTTTGGAATTTCAGTCATTTTATCTCCTCTTTTATTCTCACCTGTCAATAATAAATTACCATAATAAATATATATATTATATTGAAATATATAATAACATATTATATATAAGGTATATACCGTATTTCCTGTATATATATTTTGAGAGACCCGCCTGTGTCACCCCGAGTATGACATCATTAACAGTCTACCAAGAAGAAACAATGAATTAGATGTGATTTGTTATGAGATATTATTATGATATATATATATATATACACACACACACACAGAGATATATATATATATATACGTACCACGTTCATGAAATTTTTTACCAGCTTGATATCATCCAAGCTAATCGTCCGGTAAATAAAAACCCTAACGCTGTTATCTCCACCGTCACCTTTTAAAGGATTCTTCGTGTCTTTCAAAAACGACATCGTCGCAGCAAACACCAAAATATCCACCACGCTATTCACCATTACTACCAACCCCGACCAGATCGCCATAAATACCCACCAAAATCTCTTCCATGAACTGTTGGTCGACTGTTTCCGTTGCTCCGGCACGGTGGGAAGCGAGTCGGGATCGGAAGTCTTTCTGGTGCAAGCAAGGAGGAGGGAAATGAGAGACATGCCGTCGCCGACTGAGTGATGAATCTTGAAGATGCCGACGGCGTCGGCGTCGGAAGTTTTGACGTTGAGAAGATGAAGCTCCCATAGTGGCTTAGAGAAGTCCATAGGGTCTTTTGTTAAGTTGGATGTGTAGTCTTCTATGAATTTTTCTGGTGATTCCATTTCTGGGTTTATGTCCGGGACGATTACATGATCTTCTACTTTGACTTTTGTTTTGATCCATCTTAGTCTTCTTTTGTTATTTTTCTCTCCCACCTAAACAAGAACGTGCTTCAGAAAGAATTATTTATTGAAAGAAAATGATGGAGATGGTGATGAAGATAACTTCCGGGTTGATGGGAAACATGAGAGTATGGAGAGAAATTAATGGTGGATAAATTGTATAGAGTATCAAGAAATTCGGAAATGCCAAGCACATCGAGATTCACAGTGGCTTTTGATCTGCAGAAACTTCTTTTTCATCCATGCAATAAAGTTTCCCTGTGGATTGGTGACAGAATCACGCATGCATAGGCACAAGGATTCATATATCTTATATATATATATATATATCACGTCTTGAACCATCAATCGACATTTATAATTTTAGTTTTTTTTTTAATTATAGTTTAATTATTTAAATAGAATTTACACACACAAAATTAAGTTTCACGAGTACATTATAACAAATATAATTACCCATATAGCATTAGTAATTAATTAAATAACTCAAAAAATGATGATAATTAATTAATTAAATTAATATCATTAATTAATTGGTTAAATTTATTTTTTAAATTATTTTTAAAAATATTTAAGTATGATACAGTCATTTTAATTTTCTATTATGAAATTAAAGAAAATTAATTGTTTATAACAAATAAAAAACATTAAAAATTAAATTATAACCAAAAAATTCTATAAACTAAATTATAATAAGTGGTAAAGACTAGTTTATTAATTTATTAAATTTTCATTAAATAGATAAATTGGAGTAATATTAAACCACTTTATATATTTTTTTTTAAATCTAATATTAATAAAAATAACTATAGGTACATATATAAGCATGTATATGTACAGTGTATGTAATGACATAAGGTTTATTACCAGTATACTAGAGAACCGAGGGTGTTTGATCAAGGTATGCTTCAGGCCTTCAATGACAACGCCGGGATCGATTCTAGTCTTGCACCCCATAACGGCGATGATGTAACACTTCAGTCCCGGCACGTTAAATAACCTAGCCGCCGGACTCGCCGGCGCCTCCTCTCCACTACTCAAGTCGCCGCCGGTGGTGGCTACCGTCAACATATTTTCCTTGTTCTTCTTCTTCTTCTTCTTTCTTCTGCTCGCTCCTTTTTCCTCTGGTTTGTTTCGCGAATTGAAGGCGTTGGAACTTGGAAGAGAACTTACTTCATATAAATATGGTATATCCAATATATTATATTATAAGGGTAGTACTGTAATTTAATTCAAGTTTGGATGTACTTTTGTCAGATGCTGAAAATGGGGAGCCGTGCAGACGGTCTGCTCGAACAATGGAAGAGAACCGGAGAGGCTTGACCTCCGGGTGCATGTTGACGGAATTGCCCCTCGATTTGCTAAAATTTTACAATTTCGGAATTTCTTTTTTTTTTTACAATTATATTTTAATGAAGAAGATAAAGCAAATAATAATTGTCCCACTAGGTTAGTTCTGCTATTTAAAGGAGAAATTTATGGTGATTTAAGTTGATAATAATAATAATAATAATAATTTCATATTGAAAATTAAAAATTTAATTATGTTTTTATTTTATTTTTTTATCGATCGAAATTTAATTGTTTAGACCGATTACATGACAAATAATTTAAAATTAATTAAAATAAATCTAACTTCGTAAATTTAAGGTTAATAGAAAAATATGTAAAATATAATTAAAAAATTAAATATTCGATTCATCAAATCGTAGTTCGGTTATGCATTTATTATATATGAATGAAGTTAGCTCGTTTATAAATATTAAAAAATAAAAATATCATGTGTATGATTGTCAATGCATTGATTAGTTTAGTAGATAGCATTAATGTTGAATTGGTTATTATATTATTTTTTAAAAAAATATAATTTATATTTTTAAATTTTATTTAAATACATATTATTATTAATAACCTATCTAATACTTTATAATAAAAAATATATTAACATAGTCGTAAAGTTATAAAAATATTATTATTAAAGTGATAATGTTTTAAACGAGGATTGAAAAGCACGAAACGGGATCGAATCTGAGAGAGGCTACGCCCTTCCATTTTTTTAAAAAACTTTCTTAAAATGACATCGTTTTGTCAAAAAAGCCCACGTTCCCACAAATTGCACAAAGCCTGGACACTAGAGACCCAACAAAACGGGGCGTTTCATCCGTGCATTTTTTGCCAGCCCAAGGTCTGGACACTACAGACCCGACAAAACGGAACGTTTCATCCATGCGGTTTTTACATTTTAAATTACTATTTTCCCACGAGTTCTTTTTTTTCATCTCTCATGGAAGCTTACTGTATTGTCATATTCTTTTCATTATATAGATTTATATATATATATATATACATGCACATATATATCTAACCAAACCATATATATTTTTTGTTTGATTGAAATGGAAGATATAAAATAGAGCATGAAGAAAATAGATAAACATAAACATCTTAAAACCAGATTATGAAGTTGGAGTTAAAGATATCCCGTTCATCTCTCTCTCTCTCTCTCTCTCTCTATATATATATATATATATGTCTAGAATATACACTATAGTATTTAATATAAATTTCAATTTTTAAGATAAAGATGTCTATATTTATAAAGGTTCGGAACTTAAAAAGAAATAAATATATGAATTGAATGCGGAAGCAAAATAATAGAGTTATGTTTTACATTACTTACATAATAGTTTAAGATACCCAATAAGGTTACGGAAATGTTCATTCTAAAAAAACAAATGAAAATTAAATAAATAAACAAAAAGTAAATAATTAAGCATTTTATAAGACTTTCACTAGCTTTTGAAGGAGTTCGGGTGGTGAAATATTCACAACCCTCTTGGTGATCAAGATCTGGATCTTGACCCTCTTGATCTGAAATAATTAATGAATGAGTGAGGTACACTAATCCAGTAAGAATATCACACTACTCATCGATACAGAAAATAAAAGTTAGTAAAAATTATAAAAACAACCAATAGAACTCTTAATTTAAGTAAATTCATTTATCATAACTAAAATTATTTATTATATATTTACTGTTGCGAGATTTTCAAAAACGATTTATAGAGACAATAGCTCAACAACATCATAATCTCATGTTCAAGTAAGTAAT